AAAATTATCATGCTTAAAAAACAGATATACCATACCAGTTTTTTTTCCCTTTACTGAGAAATAACAAACAGTCAACAATGAAAAATACTATCCTTGAAAGGTGTTTAAATGAAAAACACACCATCTTTTTATTTAAGCATTACCTTCAAAAAACAGATACACATACCAATTTATTTTCACTAGCCTTTTACTGATAACATGCCATATAAAAAATGAAAAGAATTATCCTTGAAATTTAGATAAAATGAAAGTAACACAATGGGAAATTTATGCACACGGACACCTTTTTTCTATGCATGTTGCCTGACATAATCCACAAGTGCCTAAAAATGTACCAAGAAACATTTCAATATTAACAAAAAATTGTTTACAGATTAAAATTCATCATTTCTACCAGTATTATAAAGATCATGCATGAAACAAATCTGCTTTCCCATACTTTTAAGAAAACTTTATACTGGAAATAGACTATATTTCTATATATTAGAAACAAGAAAATACAATTTGAATGTTCTAATCTTTTACTCCATTGCCAATTGTATAATACTGTGATTATAAAAACTGCACAATCCTGCAATTATTGAAGTCAGATTATATATTTTGTCTCTCACTATTCAATTTATTCATTGACTTCAGATCAATGTCAAAATTCTGGAAGTTATTTTAACCAAGAAACAGTAGTGGGACCGTGCATAACAACTCATCTAACTTTTTAACATAGTGATTATAAAATAAAGAAAAAATTATATATCTTCCACGATATTGCACTATAGTTAATGTTACATATATCTTTAGCAAACATCAGATTTTATCTTGACTTCCAAATTATTATTTATTCTTTAAAATTTCAATAATGCTAAAATGATTTTCATGTTACTTAGTATAAATTCCACATTAGCACAGAAAACAAAATCCGCGCTTTATATTAGAAAGAAATTTTTTTCCAATTCAAACATCTACATGTTTGGCGACGGGTACATTAAACCTAGACTAATTTAATTATAGCTATTATTACAGAATTAGCAGATACTCAGGTTATTGTACACAGAATTTCACGTTACTTGCACATAAACATCAGAGAAGATATAAACTCTAATGAAGGCGTAATTAACATTATACTTACTAAGCAAAGTTCAGCGCCTGGACCAGGTTTCCAATTGTCTCTTCGGCAATTATTTACCCCTATTTTTCTTCATTCAGGAAATTTTACAATGATGACCTTTCCGTGAATGATTTGAACAATTAATAGCTGTACATCCGCCCATTAAACACAAAAAATTGTTGCACCGTAACTACACAGCCGCCATTAAATCTCCCACTTGGGAGCGCGAATGCCTGATGATTCAGCCTGGTATATAGGAGCCTTAACCCCAAGTGAGCTAACCTGTTCTTTCTACGGACCTTGTATTCTAACCTCCTTGTTGTCTTGTCTGTCTGAACCTGAACCGTGAAAAGAGATCTTAACTGTCACCGTATTATCAATTTGTTGCGATATTTATGCTAGGTTTATGAATCAGCATTAGTACCGTTGTGTTATTGATTAGATATGTAAGTCTTTTTGATTATTTTATAGAAGTATTACTGAGAATAATTTAATAATTTTACCACATCTGAATCAGAGCTTTGTTTATATATAGATATTCCTTGTTTAGAGTAGGGAAATGTATTTTGTTCCTCTCAAGATGGTCTTTATATGAATTTTATTAAAAAATTATGTTGCATGATGAAATATAATTGCAGGTTAAGAAATAGTATATAATTCTTTCATATTAGTTTAAATTACGTCTTAGTAATGTACATTCTGTATGATTTTTAATCAAGCTTTATTCATTTCGAAGCTTAGATTCGGTTTCAAAATTGCCTTTTCAAAATTCTTTATTTTTTCGGGTGCGGGCATAGACTGTCGCATCATCAAAGGTAATGTTTGGATTTTTTGAGGCCCTCTAACTTATTTATGTTGCTGGAATTTTGATTTAATCTGTAATATGAAACTCTTGTCTTCCAGAAAAACTTATAATCAGAATTTGTTTTTAAGTTTGAAATAAGGACTTAAATGCATAAAGAATAGGTTAAATTCTTTATTTCTTTGGTAAAGAAACTTATTTTCCATATATAAATATGTCATTATACTTTACTGATTGTTTTCGTTGCATTTTCCTTAACCCGGCGGAAGGCGCATCAAGAAAAGTTACTAGAGTGGGCGCGTGGGGTATCACATACCCCCAATATTTAAAATACAGTAAAAGTAATTTTATTTAATTGTAAAGCTTTATTTATTTTTATTTTATAACACATGAATAATACTTGGGTTACAAGAAATTAATTTACAAAATAAGCTTATAGAGAGTTAAAATTAAGATAAATGAAAATAATAATAAAATAAAAATCATTTCCTTGGTCTTATTGCATCTCTAATACACAAATCCTTATTTGATCTGTTTACACTTTGAATAAAATACATTCATCTGTTCTTGGCACAGAAAGTTCTCATTTTAGACATCACATTTGTGTTCTTCTGTCCCTGGCTCAAGGGCATTCATCAAATCTTTTATACTTAGTGTTTCAAATTTCATATATTTGTTTGAATTATTCATCGAAATTCTCTTTTTTTTTTTTTTTTTGCCTGCAGTACGTAAGTCTCTCGATAAAGTATTAATCTCTGGTTGTTGTTCAGTACTTTTTTTTATTAACTGTAATGTTATGTCCCTCAAAAACAGGCATGTGCTACAGTATCTAATTGGTGGAGTAGCAGTTGAAAGTATTATAATTCGAAAATCATTTGCAGCAACCTTTAGTGCAGAAAATAAAATTAGCATTGCCCACCTCCTTTTTATTCTGGCAACTGAAAAACTTGCTGATATGTCATCCACAGTGTCCACTGTTCCCTTAGTCATATTATAAAAACATATAATTTCTTTCTATATTTTCTTTTCTCCAGGAGTATCATCTACAGCATCATCGTTATGTAATGTTGAAAGCGTTAGAACAGTTTTTCCGGCTAATCTTTGGAATATGGTAACGGTAGTTTGGGCGAATTTTGTAAGGCGCTAAAGGTTACTAGCTAGACTTAGCAGTGTACATAATAAAGAAGCGTGCGCAATGCCATTTTGTGCAATTCTGGGATTTTTTTTAAGTGAAAATAGGTCGACGTGTACATGGATGATACCATGTATGTGCAACTCTTAAAAACGGGCAAGCAGTGGGCGATTCTGCACTTTCTCCCAATTTTCTCCTAATCTTCGTCATGCTTAACATTTGTTCCATAAAGTTCCGCATAAGTATATTCGGCTAGCAGATTGTTGGAAAAAAATGTTGAGTAAAAAAAAAAAACATGCCTTTACTTCGTGAAAACAAAATGGCGTCCAAAAAAAAAACTAGCAGGTTGCTGTAGCAGGGTTGATTGCCAAATTTTCGCCAAAAAAATCGCCAAGTTACCATAATCCAAAGATTAACCTTTTTTCCTCTTTTTAGGAACATAAGATATTAATGTTTTATTTTTTTTTCGAAACCCAAACAGTGTAAAAAATATTCCTATCTTCATTTTCAGTTTCCAAAATGCAATCTTCATCACTTTCAACTATTTCTAATAATTTTCACAGTAATTCCATCTCCATTTGTCATAATAAGATCAGAAATCTTTAAAAATATAATTTCAAACACTTTGAAATCGTTTACGAATGAAAATATTTACTGTTTCACTCTAGAAATAAATTTCTCAAATAAATATTGTCACAAAAGCACTTACGCGGACAGGTGTGTGGGGTGTGTTATACCCCAGTTGCAACAAAATACCGATAAATATTTTTCTGAAACACACAAGCAATGGTAAAGCGGTTCTGAAAGTCAACCAGTGCTAGAAACTCAACTACTGAATGCAGCACAGAATTTCAGTTTCACAAGTTAAGGATATTCCACTTTTTTGTAGAGGTGGGATATGATACACCCCACGTGCCTTCCCGTGGGTTTAAAAAACAAAAGGAAAAGACATGCTTTTTTTTAAAGTTTTGTCTTATATATGAATTAATATGCTTTCCGATTATTTATTGCCCATTTACTGCTTATTACAATTTCTTAACTTTGTAATAAAATGTTTTACACTTTTTTTTACTACTGTTTTAAAAACGCCCAATAGATGTTATGAAAATTCTTAAAACGTGCCACACTGTCTTATAATCTCCAGTTTTACCAAGCGTGAAATTAAAATTTAAATCAAAGAGTGATTGGGTAAAAGTCTTAATTTTTGAAGATTTGTTTTTGTGCTAATCACGCTTGTTTGACTTGATTAGAATAGCTTCATGAATTTTACTGTGGCTACGAGTGCAAGATTGTATTTGTCATTCACATCGGCCTTAAGCACTATATAGGTGATATTATGAGTATGTCTTTGCTGCGCTGTGCCCCAATTTTGAAGGAGAGCATCCTGGGGTGGGGACACAGGTGTAAGGATCTCCCGTTCCTCTTTCTTTGCCACCAAACCACTCGAAAGGACTTCTGGCTTGAATGCCCCTGTGCTGTACAGACACCATATATTTACAAACATCCATGCATTCTGAAGGATTTGAACCCAATCCCCATCGATTAGGCAGTCAGTTTCACTAATCAGTATACCAGTCTGGGTGACAGTTTTAAGATTTGGATATGTTAATGGAAGATTAAAAATGAAATATATCATTGTATTTTTTGGCTCTAATCTTATATGCACCCTAAGATCACCAAATGTGGCGATGTGTGTTCTGTGCTGGTTTTTGGCGCAATTGCATGTTTTATGGCAAACCCTTTGGACGTTGAATACTCTTTTTTTTTGGAGTGTTTTAATTGCTTGCTGGTTCGTGTCATGCGTGTTTTGAAATGGCCTATGTTGCAATGAGAGACGTGGTTGCAAGAGGGCCTTGGAGATTATTTTTAGTGCCTGTGCATGATAGAAGTAAGGAAACGCTGATGCAATGTACTAAAGAGTAGATTGAGCCTTGTACAACTATTTTTTTTCGGATGGCTGGAAATCGTACAAGGATTTAGGAAAATGTTTTGAACATTTATTTGTGTACCATAGTATGAATTTTCTCGATAGTGTGTCTGGCTGTCATATAATACGATAGTGATTACTGGCAGCATGAAATTGGTATTCTGCTGTTCGAAAAGCAATTCATTCATGGTAAGTGCATTTTATTCTTTTTTTTATTTTGTAGAATGTTATGTTCATTGTTTTTTTAGTATAAATTTCTGTCGTTACTGTTGTTTTTTTGAATTATTTGAAATTTATTTTAGTTGACTAGCGCATCATGCCTAGATTGTGCAGTTCGTAGATGTTTTTTAAAGTTGAAACCGAATGCTGTGTACGGTATTCTTTGAAATTTATTGTTACTATGTTAACACTTTACTGACCGCTAGCGGTTCAACAGCATACGCACGTCCGAACCGGCCGCTCAGCCGCAGATTCTTCATGGGCTAAATAACTGCAGACACATCTGATAATCGTCTAAATGAAACTCTCCAGTACATTTTTTTTCCGTTCATCGGAACGGTAATTTTTTTAAAAAAGGTGTGAAAATGTTAGTTTATGAAGCAACGCAAGTGAGCAATGTACCTCAATACTAATAATAAAATGCAGGTGATATAGCAAATGGCAATTGTTTATTGCCATGGCTATCGATTGATAAGCTATTTTTAGGTAGCCCGAGAAAAAAGTGCTTAATAGGCTATCGGTCTATAGGCATTGGCGAAAAAAAGCCGATTAATAGGCTATTGGTTGGCAGGCGTTGCCTTAAAAAAATTCAATTAATAGCCGATCGGTCGTTAGACATTGGTGATGATAAGCCAATTAATAGGCTATTGATCGGGCATGGCGATAAAAAGCCGATTAATAGGCTACCGATGTGTAAATTTGTTAAAGCAAGGTGTGTGTAGTTCATAGATTCTTTCACTGCCTAGATTGTGCAATTAATAGACGTTTTTTAAAGTTGAAACAGAATGCTGTGTACATGGTATTCTTTGAAATTTATTCTTATATTAATCTATTAAAACAAGGCGTGCGTAGATCGTAGATTCTTTTGCTGTCTAGATCGTGCAATTTGTAGATTTTTTTTTTTTTGAGTTAAAACATATAACTGTGTACATGGATTCTTGTCAAATATTTTTGGCTAGAAACTTTACGCTTTTGCTATCCAAATTTTTTGTTTTTGTTTTGGATTTTTATCTTAAATTGTGTGTTCAAAACGTGGTTTTTGCATGTGCGAAAACCGTGTTTTTGGAGACATTTTAGGCTTAAAGTTTGAAAATGTAGACAAACAATTTAGATAGTAATATGGCACCGTAGAGTTTTTGACCAAAAATGTTTGGCGACTTGAAGGCGCATATAAGAGTAGTTCCTATTTTTTTAATAAAATGCATAAATTCTTTTTCAGGATCTTTCAGAATTGCTTTAAAAACTGTATGCATTTCCATTAATACACTCAAATCCCGCTGTAAGAAATCTTTTGACATAACAAACAAACTTTCTAGTCCCTTCCAATTTCCTGTAGACTGAAATGTTATTTTATATGGCTATAGCA